GCTATGCGATCACCTCGAGGCAGAGACAGTTGCTAAGGTGTCCGATAAGCGACTAGGGATTGAGTTGGCCGCAATTGATGAGAACCTGTGGCAAGGACCACAGAGGACATGGAACATTTTCCCGAACGGAGGAGATCGTCTTGAGTGGATCAGCACTCATACGATGTTGAGTGATTGTTTGACCAAGAGCATGAAGCCGGACCTACTATTCGGTCCTTCGATCATGCATCTACCAAGTTGACAAGAGTAAGGAGAAACGACGAGCAGAACGATGATTCGTAGAAGAGCATAGATTTGCCGAAGAAGAGAAGTTTCATTACCTTTGAACGTAGAACGCACTACGGCACTACTTGTAGAAATTCCTGTATAGCTGGCGGAATTGCGCATAGATCCGGACAGACTCGAAGAACAGGTTGAGTGTGAATTTTCCCTGTTGTTGGTATCTTGTGTACAGCCGTGTTCTGTCCATGGTGCATTCCGCCGCCATTTGGGTTCACAGGGCCCTTGAGATTATCCGCGCTTACGCCTGCATGAAAACGCCGTTGGACGTCGTGGTCGGGACCGATTTCATAAGTTTATATAATTATGTTGGTCGTGAATCACTATCTCGGAGGTGAAGAAGTGATAAGAGGTAAAAGCTTCTTACGCGAGAGAGGACAATCCTTTGCGCTCATAGCCATGGATGTGTTCTTTCTTATGTCAGTTCAGGGTATTGCTACTAGTAACAAGGACATTACTGTACCAAATAGTAGTAACAAGGGCATGCATGGTATTTCATGGTTTAAGTTCATATCACATATTCGGAAACTTCAGTGCCGCAAGGCTTCCGTGCTGTTCACTACGACCTGTGCGTTTGGCATGCTGGTCAACGCCCTCCAGAGTGCTGGGATCATTGGCATGATTACGGTTGAGTGGCCCGTGGATCTCAAGAGTTTCTTCTCCTACTTCCAGGCGACTCAGATCCTGCTGTGGAGTGGAGTTCCTTTTTTCTCCGGTGAAGGAAGCGTTGGTACGGAAGTCAGCATTATTGTGCGCCATGGGTGACTAGAACCCACTGAGGGCAGTCCCCATGATTGGCGATAGCAAGTCCGCACATTCTTGCGGTGATTGCTCTCAACAGAGGAAGTTTACTGTGCAAAAGAAACTTCGAGAGAGAGAGAGAGTAGAGAGAGAGAGAGTAGTAGAGAGAGAGAGAGAGAGAATGAGTAGAGAGAGAGAGAGAGAGAGTAGAGAGAGAGAGAGAGAGTGAGTAGCTAAAGTCGACTTTTCGTGGCAGGCGTGAGGCGTCATGCAATTTCGATAGTGAGGATTTCCGCCCGATGCTGCGTTTTCACAAGAATCATTCTCCGCTCATGTGTCTAGGATTGTGGTGTTTGCGGCAGGTGTGGTCCGTGACCGTGATCGGTTCATGCTTGGAAACGTGCGTGCAGTAAATGGGAGTGTGTTTCGCGTATGCCAGCTCGCATAAAGTGAGTTTTCACAATGTGTTGCCTTGAGGGCTGAAAAGTCATCGTGGCAGGCGACGGTCACCGTGCATGTTTGAAATTGCGGCTCAGCTTGCCAAAAGCGTGTTGCGTTTGCATGCTCGAATAACGTGAGGTTTCGCCCTGTCTTGGGAGTTTTTTTCTCTCGCTAGGGCTGCGCTGGCGGAAGTTGAGAGTAACTGGAGTGGCAGAGACTAGGTAGCGTGGAGGAGAGCAGCGTAGTTGTTTGGTATAATTAGAATCAGGATAGAGTAAAGTAAAGTAGATCCAAAGAGTTCAATCAGTTTGCGCGCGTATCGAACATTTTCCTATTTGTTCTTGATATGGACATTTCCGCGGAGATGCCTTGCGCAGCTCTGCTGGTAATCTAAACTGTAGTCCCATGGCTTTGGCAGAGGGGGGTGGGACCGCCTTCCTTCGCAGGTTCTCTTGTTGGACCTCGACAGCTTTGGTTTTGACTGCTTCGCCGGCACTGAAACGAGCTTTCGCTACATCGTCCGCTGGATGCAGTTTTGGGATGTGATGGTGAAGAAGCGTCCAACGGGGTGGAACCTGATGTGATGGTAAGAGAAGACTCACAAGCACATCCTTGCCCAATCCTTTTTGATTTGTTGTCTGTGGGTTTTGGAGCTTGGTTAGAGCCTGTTCTGATGACAAACACCTCCGTCTTTTGCTGCCAAGTGGCCTAGTGCAGCTCACTTCTTTTTCCACATGACCCGGTGTAGCTAGGAATGCGGATATTTTTGTTCGTCCAGAACCCACAATGGGCACCTTTGAGTGGTGAGTCCAGTGAAATGGTGAGGACACGCGAGGACCATCCCACATGGCTCGGAACCCGTAGCTACCTAAGCGTCACAGCTGGAAAACAATTTGATTCAAACAGTTCGATATGCCTCCTTTGCTCCTTCCGCAGCTTCACCGGGCACGTCAGATGACAGTTTGAGCAACAAGACATTGCATTTTTCGTCCGAGCTTCAAAGGACCAGCGAGGTCACACGCGCGCAATAAGCATACAATAGCTACCCAGGCTGCCCGGGCTGTGATTGGCGGCGTCGCAGCGGTTCTCATGCCAGGTGAGCGTGTGCTTCTTCCCAGCGGCCGTGTCCTGGTTTGTGATGAACTTCATCTTGAGCAAATTGCTGCCACAGGGTCATCACTGGGATATCACGAAGGTGGCCAGTTGCTCTGGGCAGGTGCTCCAGGTGGGGCAGGGCTCGTGTATTCGTTATTTTCTTCTTTTTGACGTTTGTGGTTGCGTTGGCTTTTTAGGAAGTGACACATCTAGTTGTGTTGCTTTGTTTTCTTGGTCACTTTCAATTTATCCAAGTTACAAAGCTTCACTGTGTACTTTGCGTGTTTCTCAAGTGATTGTGTGTGATGTTTGAACACGTCCAAGCGATCAAATCATTGAACCGGCCAGCATGCTGGATGGCAACTGCGGAAGTTGCAGTTTGGCTCTAGTATATTTCTTCAAAGCATGAGTGTAATGGCAAGTTCACTTTTGATATTTCACTTGTTCAATAGCAGATCTTATGCAGGAACCTATTTTCATGTGTTTCTCTTCTACATCAGACGTGACATGTTTGTTATCATGAAGATCTTGTTGCAGTTGGGACAATATTTTGGGCAATTATTTAGCTGCCAACCTTGCTTCAGAACTGCTGCCACGCTTTGCACCGATGTGGGGCAAAGCGGAAGAGGACCTGCAGCATCCGTCGTTCAGTTTTGTTCCTGTTTTGTCCTGATGCGCCTACACAGGAGTTGCCCATTGATCGGCACCATGATTTCGCTTCCACAGTCTCGCTGGCTGGGAATCCATCCAACGTGCCGCTGGCATCGTTAGATATATGTATGTGACATGTGTCAATAGACACACCATGGCTTTTCCTGCCATATATTGGGAGGAATACCCAGTGAGTCTAGGTACGTGCAAAGGATACACCTAGGAAAAGCATAAACTTTGCCACCTGCAGGGGCTCAGCATGTAGAGCTTTGGGGCCATGCATAGTTCGCACATCAATCCTGAAGAACCTATGGTGGATAGAACGATTCATGAAATACTTTGTATTTCTCACCAGTGTTGTACATATACTTACTCCTACACGCGTGTATTTGGCTCAAGAAAAAAGGTGTAGCTTTTAGGCTGGTTCCTGTCTGAAATAGGTTATCAGCCGTAGGCCTCACTTCTTTCTCTATACTCTTCGTCCCGCGTGCGCCACACCATGGCTGGCTATGGATTCCCGGCGATTATTGTTTTGTCGTCGGATCCGGACAATATGTCTGCACGTGAGGGAACGCTTGAGTTTGCTAGTTCTACTGCACTTGTTCCGGAAGGTTATGGGTATTTGGACACGCCTGTTGGGCCTGACCTTTCCCAGTACAACCCTCCTACAGCAAGTGCCAGCGGGAACGCTGTGCCGGCCAATACGGTAAGTCAGACGAATGTATTGAACCAGCTCTTGCATGTTCACCAAGCCCCAACCACCGATACACGGTTGATTGAGGCAGTTGCCGAAGAACGACACCGGCGTGCCATGGACAAACAGAGTGAACAACTCCAGATGGTGAGTACTCAGCGTCACGAAATGCGAGTACCGGGTTTAAGGTTTATGAACGAAGCTGAACAAATGTTTCATGAAAACGCAGTTGTGAAACATGAAGCCACTGCTTTCGTTGAAGCGGCCCAAAGGGGATACGAGGCATACGCCGAGGCTTCCGCAGCTGAGCTTAGGTCCATGAAACAACACCATGAGAGGCAGATGTTAGATGCACGCATTCGTAGCGATCATGCAATTGAGAAGTGTATGGCCACGATTGAGTCATTGAATGATCATGTTGAGCATCAGAATCGGCAAACCGAGAGTCTTCATTTGGAGTTGAGACAATCCATGTGAAGAAGCAAACTGATCTTCAAAACCAACTGACTGCTCTTCGAAACGCCAGACAACACAACGATCTGTTCAGTTCTTGGTCCGCCGTTCGCACGCCGGAAGGTACAGCCGTTCTGGGTCCGAGGGGTCTCCCAATGACTCCTGCAGGGGGGTATCGATGAATTGCACACTCGAGACTACTCTCCGTCGATTGCCAATCCAGCTGTGCTTCAACAGACTGTCAAACAGGAACCAAAGAGTAATCCAGTTGTAAAGCAAGAACCTACTGAGGAATCCCTTTTTGGTTCTCCGTTGAACTCCATGGGATCGGGTGAAGGTCAAATTCCACCGCCCCCACTGGGTACCAGTGATCAGACCGGGAACGCTCCTAATGGAGGTGCTCCGCCTCAGCCAGAGGGCGGAGACGGGCCTCCAAAGGGAGATGACGCCAAGGGGAACCTTCGGCCGGGTCCGAAGAAAGCAAATGTCGGTGGAGGCGGCCCGCCTGAGACGATGATGACGATGATGGGGACGACGATGACGAAGAAGACGAGGGTGCCTTTTCGGGTCGCGATTTGTTGAAAGCCCTCAAACAGCTCCTGAAAATAATGCCAAGGAAGCAGACCATATCAAGGTTTCACCCTTTCCGCGCCCCGAAAGCTACAGAGACTGGAAGATCAAGGTTCGAGATGCTGTTCGTGCCGCGTCGAAGACCCCAGACAAGGCTTTCGTGTGGATTAACAAAGTATGGAAGGAAGGAACGGTTTCTGCAGATTTGGTAGATCCGGAGGGCTTCACCACTCTTGATGCGAAGCTTTTGTCAGCACTCTCAAACATCTGCTCTGGTGAGTTCGCTAGAAAGGTGAACACTTTCAAAGAGAAAGAATCAGCAGCTGACCGCCCTGTTAGAGGAAGACAAGTATTGTTGATGATGGATGAATTCTTTAGCACGAATATCAAACATGGAGCCACGTACTCATTAAAGGACTTGTTCGCTGTGAAGCTCAAGGGTGAAAACCTGAGAACATTCATTTCGAACTGGGACACTGTCAATGCTGGAATCACTCATCCACCGGATCCATCAGTCTTGGAAACCTTGTTCTATGAACAAGTCAATAATGTACGCGCCATCCAGCATGACTTTGAAGTCTACAATCGTGCCGAAGAGGGAACTGAGAATCATTCCTACAAATTTCTTGTTGATGTTGTACAGAGATACCTCCGGAGGGAAAGGCTTGAGTCGAACCGTGACCGGATCCACAGCAGCCTTGGAGGTCCGAAGCCGTCCACTCCCGCGGAAGAAAACTCCGTTCACCCCAAAGGGGTACTGTGTCGCATGGAACAAGGGCAGTTGCACCAAAGAAAACTGCACGTACAAACACGAGACTCCTCCGAAGAAAACTCGAAAACCAAGTAGAGGTCGTTCTACGAGTCGGGAGGGTAAAGACAATTAAGTCCAAGATCACATGTAAGTATTGGAAAGCTGGACGCTGCAAAAGGGGAAGCGAATGTGAGTTTTCCCACGCAGGCAAGCAGAAGCCCCGCAAGGCCACTCCTGCCCGTTCAGGGTCTCGCAGTTCTCGCGGAAGCGACAAGAAGGACAAGCGGAGGAAGGACAAGAGGGGCAAGCGGGACAAGAGCGGACGTCGATCCGGATCCGAGGGTTCTCGAAAGTCAAAGGGATCCAAGGGTTCCTGGGGGTCGAATCGATCATCACCCAGAGTCACGCCTGCGGCCGTCGAGTTGCATCCATATGCTTGCGTCGTCCGTTGAAGGACTTGCCACCGGGAAAGGTAAGGAACGAAACACTCGGTTGTAATTTCACACCGTACTTGCTCGAATCTACCCCACCTGTGATGTCCGTCGGTATCAAATGCATGGACGAAGGTTACGACTTTGTTTGGAGAGCCGGCAAAGAACCATACTTCCAAAAAACCTGATGGTGTTCGAATTAAGTTGACAGTACGAGATTATGTACCATACTATAATGGTTTTTGAACTTACATACTTTATAACATAAGTTATAACTAATAACTTATCATGATATTTACGTTG